TTTTTTTTTTTTTTTGGGAGTGATCAGGCAATTTAATAGGAGATAAGTGTAAATGTTTAGAAATCACATCATGAACTTATAAATGTGACTATTGTTTTGGAACAAAAAATGGAAAAGTGGGACTAAAAACACGGGATGGAGGAATTATAACAACACGGATATACACGGTTTTGCACTATTTTAAGTTTACCTCTGCAGAATGATGACCAGCACCAAAGAGAAGCATGACCTTTTTCTGGAACGAGTTCCCATGCACCTGTTATGAGAAAGGACGAATCTTTCTTAACAAGGAGCATACACGAAACAAGCATAATATGAAAAAAGTATGTTCACTCCACAAAGTAAAAGGCAAATAAAGGAAAAAGAACACATTCTGCACAAATCATCTCATATTACGAAAAACACTCGGGGAGAACAAATTGCTGCAACATACACTAGCTTTAGCATGGTCCCATGAAAAATATGTGGTGAAAAAGCACGGTTCGTTCCCTTCTGTGACTTTGTATAACGGGACTTTTGGCGGCAACCCCTCGAGTGAAGCAGCCATCTCAATGTATTTCTGCAAAAACTCCAACAGTCAAGAGAGCACAAATGGTAGATATTGAGGGATTTAGGGCATGTCTGGTTACAAGTAAATCCGCTCAGAACGATTTTTTTTTAGTTAATCATGGTTAATTTTGAAAAAGTCGGTATGGTTAGTTGTTAGTGGGATTTTGAATTTATATTAAAATAATATTTAAAATAGAATAATTAAAGTTAATTTGATGTAAAAGTAGGAGAGATATGACGTGAAGTGATAGTTAAAAAAATGATAGTTAAAATTATGTGAGTGGATAAATTGTGAATTAAAGTTGATGTGATATGTAAGAATGATTGATTAATATTATTTATATTGAAGATAATGTGGTTGAGTTAAAGTTGAGTTAGATTTGAGTTAAAAGTTAATGGTTAAAAATGATTAGAATTTTTTAGAAAAATTTGGATCAGGGATTTAACGTTTAAAATGTACACTACCTGACCAAATTCAAAAGCAATTTGCTTCTCTTTGGAGTCCACTGATTGGCCAACCCAAATAAAAACTTCAGCACGCGTGTCAAGAATCAATATATCTTCTGTTAATAGGTCATCTTGAGAAAAGTTGTACACTTCTTCCACCTGGAAAATAGATATTATTTTGAAATACAAGTATATTAAAGTGCCTCGATGGCTAAAAAGAGTTTACATTGTCCAATATATACCTCGAATTTCCCTGAGAGAACAAGAAGTGGGGTATGCATCAAAACAAAAAAAAGGTTAGACCAACTTAGTGGAAACAAAAACCGAGCATATAATTTAAAAAAAAAAAATGCCACCTTTAATGAAGGAGACTTCAAATAAGTGAGGATCTCTGATAACCTCAGAAGAAACCTTCTTACTATTGTAACTTAGTTTTCCTCCAAGGGCAAACCAGAAGGAAGAGCTCTCGGTTCCTTCTTTAGTGTGTTTGATGGTGGCTCCAGGCTGAGCTCGTGAAAATACAGAAAATCACAGTTGTCAATTAAAAGAATCTTAAGCAAATTTTTTAGATGGAAAAATAAACAGGCCAATCAATTTTCAAACCCCCTTTAGTCTGAACAAGAAACCGATTTTAGACTAATTTTAAATATGAATCTAAAGGCAATTAACTAAAGGACCTAATTTTACTTAAAGATCTAAACTTCACCTAAATCAAAAGTCTTCAAAACCCGAGAAAGAGCTAAAACAAAGAGAAGCAAGCCACACCTAACGAACTAGATACTAAAGTCGAACAATTGATTGCGAAATAACCGACCTAAGAACTAGTCACGATTTTTACTTCAAAAGATTCGAACTTTAACTACCTAATTACACTAGATAAGCAATGTATACTTCAAAATGGAGCATTAGCATACCTTCAGAAATTCGGCAACTTTGGCTGCTAACTGTTGTTGTTCAAAAGTGCCTTGATTACCATGCCAACTGAACATCGAAGATCCAGATTGCAGCAGAAAACAGTCGTATGAATTTAATGATGTTGCCACCTAAGAAATGGAAGTCGAGTAAAAAAGGGGGTTAATTGATATGAGCAATAAAATATTCTCAAACAAGAACAAGCAATATGAAAAATTAACTTAGGCTACATTTGGATTGAATGATTTATTGAGGGATTTGAAATCTATAGATTTCAAATTTACTAGTTCAAATCCCCATGCATATAATCGGATGGTAATAGAATTTGGAGGATTTCAAATTCACGGAGTTTACAAGTGAAAAATTTATATTTCAAATATTTTGAAATCAATGGATTCCAAAATAGGAGAAAAAGTGCATAACCTTCAAATTTACAATTTGAAGTCCCCACTTTCAAGCCACCGCATTAAACTATAATAATAATAATAATAATAATAATAATAATAATAATAATAATAATAATAATAATAATAATAATAATAATAATAATAATAATAATAATAAAGTACAGGTTAACTTACAGGTTCCACTTGAACAACTTTGTTATTATGCGGAGAAGTTCTTGATATGCGGATGAGTGCAACACCATCAGTAGTGTATGTTTCGTCATTTAAACCTTTGTCAGCTATATAATTCTTATAACCAGAGCTCAGTCCCCCCTAACACAACAATTTGAGATTGTAAGACAATTTTTCATGCACTAGTTTTTTACTTTTCAACAGACAGTTCCAAGTAATAACGAGGGGCACCTTAAGGATAACCATAGGTTGAAAAATAGCAACAAACTGTGGAGGCTCTTTGCCTTGAAATATACGACCCTGGAGAAAAGCATAAATCACATATCACATTACTCGATTTCCTACACTTTTTCATTTTATTATGTTGTGAAAAGATTTACAGTTTTTCATTACCAGCACTGGCCTTCCCTTCAGTGAGTTACACATTGTGGCGGACAATTTAGCAACCATATTTCTATCCTCCTGAATATTGGTTAGTCAATGTGTTAGATGTACTTTATCACCCCAATTACCGACAAAAAGCATAGTAATAATCTTAAGATTAAGAAATTATCAGATAAATAAAAGCTGCAGATATTCTGGATCCACCAAATTACAATTTACACTATCGAAAATTTAAAACGGGATTCAAGAAGAAAAATTGCATGGGTTATGATATAAGAATATAACCCAGTGCCTTGTATTGCTTGCTAAAAATTCATAAGTCAATTCTCTTCTCAATATAACCATAAGCAGCATTTTTATTCTCTCTCTCTCTCTCTCTCTCTCTCTCTCTCTCTCTCTCTCTCTCTCTCTCACACACACACACACACACACACACACACACACACACACAAACCAGCAAACACATTTAATTGATATCAAAGGAAAAGTGAAGATTAAAGGCACAATGGATTTGAAAACGAAAATCCTCCCTATCAGCTTCATTCATAATTTTTTGGCTTTATCCCAAAAAGTAGTACCTCAATGCTGTCTTTACCGATCCAATAACACAAGTAGTAATCTTCTTTTCTTTCATGAGAATGGTAAGTGTAGAGCGAAATGTAGCAATCCCCACTGTAAAATTTACCAATGTCTTCATTAGGCACTGGGGTCTTAGCACTACCATCTATGCGCCAAACCTGAAAAAACATCCCACAATTAGAAGTATGAGCAAATTAGATATTGGAACACATAATCATGTCAAACCGAAAAAAAAAAGAGAGAAAAACAAGACAAAACATCAAATCAAACCTCTGTTTTTCCACCTCCTTCAAGCAAAGGTGGAATATCCTCATGTACTGGAGCACTCTTACTTGCTCCCTTCATGACACCACCTTGCTGCTTCAATAAAGCTGCAAAACAATTACCGAAAAAAAAACACGCTTTTTATTAGAGTTGGTAAAAAAACAAGTTTGAAAAACTTTGGACTAACTAACTAACAGAGTCACATAATTACCAGCTACTTTTCCCCTTCCTTCTTCAGCAACAGGAGCTGATCCTGACGGCCATGAATCGAAGTTGGACTTGAATGAATGGGTCTCATAACCTTGAATAACTCGAGTTATACGCGTTGCCTTTGGCCTGCCTTGGCTAACCACAAACTCCTACAAATGCCATTCAGATGTCAGAGCCTTATTAAGGATATGTTTGGTATAAGCTTCCTGTATTCAAATAAGCTTCGTTTGGTAGGACGAGCTTCTTTAAACAACTCGAGCTTATCTCACAATCTTCTTTGGGTAGCTTTTCAAATAAGCTCGTTGAAATTTTTATTTCAGCTAGCTTATCAGCTAATTTTATCAAAAACTTTTATCATGGCTAGCTTTTCAGCTATACGTCATAAGCTATAAGCTATAAGCTCGAAAATCAGTTATAAGCTATAAGCTAGCTTATCAGTTTTACCAAACAAAGCTTAAGAGCATGAATATGAATAGACTTTAGCTTTCATCATCTTACCTCTGCAGCTCGCATGGCAGTTTTTCTCTCGTCAACTTGAGTTACTCGGCCAACCCAAACAAATACCTCAGCACCACAATCTAATAAATAGCATTTGTTGTTTTCCAGAAGTGACTTGGAAAGTTCACCATCTACACTCGTAACTTGACCATCAATAATGCTGCCATGGGAAACAAGGGAAGTAAGCAAAATAAGCTGCTTGGAATAAGTAGATTAAGTAGATTAAGCATGGAATCGAAAAATATTTAAGGCTTGCTTGGATATAGATTTATTGAGTTTTGTGTGGTTTTTTTTGTTAATTAGGGTTAATTTTGAAAAAATTGGTTGGGTTAGGTTTTGAGTTTGTATTAAAATAATATTTAAAATAAAATAATTAAAGTTGATTCGGTGTAAAAGCAGAAGAGATGCGATTGGAAGTGATGAGTAGCTAAAATCATGCGAGTGGATGAATAGTGAATTGAAGTTGATGTGATGTATAAGGATGATTGATTGATATTATTCAATTATATTGAAAATTGGTGAAGTAACACCTCTCTTGTCATTTAAAGTCGTCATAAGTGGATATAGTTAAAATTGTAACCATAGTAATAATTTACCTTTTTCACATTTCTAAATTTTCTAATAACATATCGACTAAAGGACATGGGAACAACGATCTATGTTCACCAACACTTGATAAAAACTCGAAGCAGATTGTTTGTTTCCATATATTCAAAAGGAACCCATTTGACTTGCAAGGCAACTAGCTCTAACTCCCATTTGACTTGCAAGGCAACTAGCTCTAACTTAATATAATATGGTTAAGAGAATTAATAACAACCTGTAGAGCTGGGCAGGGGTCTTCTCCGGAATGATATCATCTTCAGTAGCAACCTTCTTACCGATTGGAGCAAATCCACCAAATAGGACCCAAAATTCACCAGAATCTGTCTCGGCTTGCAATTTCCCATCATCTGAATTGGAATAGCACTCATCATCAATAAAAAATCAAATAAATATATGACAAATCCTCTTATAGTTCATGGATTTACTCACCGACAATGGCAACGTCACATGTTCCTTCATGATACTTCTCCTTCAAAAACTGAATCACTTCTAATGCCTTTGCCCTCTCTTGGATATTCGAATTTGCACCATTGAACTGATATATCTTCTCTTTAGTGTCAAGAATAAAAACATCATCGTGATTCAGAGAGGACCGCAAAAATGGGACCTGCAGCAAAAAAAAAAAAAAA